CTCTCTCTCTCTCTCTCTCTCTCTCTCTCACTCTCTCTCTCTCTCTCTCTATCTCTCTCTCTCTCTCTCTCTCTCGCTCTCTCTCTCGTCTTCTACGAGAGGGAGAGGAAGATAGGATGAAGGGGAGGGAGAGAGAGTGATTGAGTGAGTGTGTTTGTTTGTTCGTTCTTTTGTTTGTTTGTGTGCGTTGCTAAAGAGCTTCAATTACAGTTATAACTAAAGGAAATTGGATTTTCCCCATTTTCTTTTTTGTTATCCGCCCCTTTTTGTGTAGTTAGTGCAGCGGTAGCGTCCTCGTCTAGCAACCTTGCAGAAAAGTCTCATGCACTGCCAGTGGATGGTAACCCCGGCCATTTCTTATAATTACCTCTATCAAAGAGTTTTTTGGTAGCGTTGGTTAATTTGTTGGCAGGTTCTCCGGATAGCTTATAAGACTTTTATTTTTTACCAAAGGTTTATTTTAGCCCAGTTTAGATGCCATTAAATTGTGGAAGTGATCCGGATCCAGGATTTTTGCAAATGATTACATCATTTATCATTATTAGCATTGCGAGATCGGGACAACTTTTTGGCGCTTGAATTATCATTATCCAATTACCTTGACGGAGGCTTGCGTTCTTTGAGGGCTTCTAATTTAGGCGCAAATAAACAGCCACCATGTCACAGCAAAGAATATCCAGTGTAAGAAATGGAATTAAACTAAATAATTTGATTATTTTTGTTAGCCTTGTTAGCTGTTCTGCATTTAAAAAATTGGATGCACTTGGCATGTGTTAAAGAGACCTTAAAGGTACACCGCAGGGTTGATCAACAGGAACAGAATTTCAGTTCTTATAATCGCTCGCTGCCACAGCGCAGATAACTGGAATTTCAACAAATTTATAAAGGTGGATAGCGAAAAGCTTGTCAGAAGCTTGACTAGAGAATAAAGATTCAGATTTGTGGCAACAGTCATAATGGCAACACTAATAATGTTGCCGCTGCTGTGGTGCAAGTGATGGTAATGCTATTAACAGCCTTATGATATTGTTAGTAGCATTTTGATTACAAGAAAAGCAATTGCAACCGCGTGCAACGTCCGACGCGATGCCAGTCCTTGGTCGATAGCAAATGTAACGTAGGGCACAAAACAGTCTACTCGGGACTTATGTGATCAAGGTTTCGAATCTAATTTATAGATTTGTGCATTCTCTTTCACAGGTACATGATACAGGAGCTTGGGATACCTCCAGACCAGGCTATAGCAGGTAAGTTTGCTTCTAGTGAATGAATGTGTACTCACCTGTTTGTGTTTATTTGCGTACCAGTTTCGTGTTCGATGTTTGACGGAAAGTATATTAGACTCAATTTAAATAACGATTCTTCAAATATTTGGCTGATAATGATTATAGTCATTATATTCATTAGGAAATCCATAAAAGTATACATCCGAAAATGGTCATGATACTTTCCGCTTTGGCCTTCCCCTCGTGAGCAAATCCTTGTTCTCTATCCACAGACTTCAACAGCGCGCGAGGCCACGAGCAGGAACGCCAGAACTACTTGGCCAACCTTCGGCGGGCATCCTGGCTTCAGGGCACGCCCTCAACCCCTTCCACGCCCTCCGCCGTCCGTAAGGCGGCGTCATCAGAGTAAGGAAGCGTCTCTGTTATGCAAACGGGAAGTCGGAGAACCTAGGGTAGGGACTGAGGCTGGACGCTTGTGTTAGCTGTCTAGGTGTGCCAGAGCTCCTCTCTTGCACTCGGGGAGCTGGCCACCTGTGTGTGTGTGTGTGTGTGTGACTGTACTAATTTTGGATTTGAAATTGCAGAGCAACTTACATAATACTGCTATCAAAATGATTAAATCTGGATTTTTCACTACAGTGAACCCTCGTTTTTCGCGGGGGTTACGTTCCAAAAAGAACCCGTGATAGGCGAAATCCGTGAAGTAGTAACCTTTATTTTTGTTTACAATTATTATACAATGAAATGCTCTACAATACATTGAAACTAGAGAACAAAAACTTTTTACAGTCCCAAGCATTTGTTTAACAAATAAAAGTACTGTATAAACGTTTTTTACAAATAACTACTGTACTGTAAAATAATTTTAATCATCAAAACGAACTGAAGGCTTCATGGGTTTTAGAGAAAATTTGCAAACTTGAGTTTGGCAAACTGTTTTACGTACATATACATATTAAACCGTAACGTTATTGACACACAGGTAGGGAAAAAGCGGAGAGACTGTTTAGCCAATCAGAATGCAGAACACAATGCACAATGCAAATCCGTGAAGCAGCGAGAACGCGAAAGGTGAACCGCGTTATACCGAGGGTTCACTGTAGTTGTTTTTTGCGTGACAGTGAAGTAGAAATGAGATTCTCAGTAGCTGCAACTTACGAACATGAATTTACGTTCATGTATTGACGTGTCCTTGGTCTAGATTTAGAAAGCTTTAGATCTGTTCATTATGCGTTGCAATTGAGTTTATGAAACATGGCATCGGTATAGCATTGCCAATTCACAAAACATAACCCAGCCCTTTCTGCCAACCAGCGAGGAAAGGAGCGACGCCGAGACCCCGACCTCCGCGCCCCCCATCCGAAGGTGGAGCGGCCCTCAGCGAGAGGCCGGCGACGAGGGCTGGGCGCCGTGGAAGGGCGCTTCTCCGAAGACCCGCTACCGTAGCTCCCCGTACTCGAGGCAGCCTTCGCCCCATGGCGCCCGCCGCTACTACGACGAGCGGTACCAGGGCCGTGTGGCGCCGCAGTACGATCCCTATTTCTACCAGGAGCGGGGTTCGGGCGTGGGCCCGCATCGCTCCATGCCCCACTGGTCGCGCAGGCAGCAGCAGGAGCAGGCCGCCGGCGTCCGGGGCCCTCCTCGGCAATACCGCGGGCCGCGACCCTACCGGAGTCCCGCCAGGCGAGAGGAAGAGTTCCTGCTCAAGTCGGAAGAGCCGAACACCCCGAACGGCGCCCTCCTCGCGACGCCGCCCTCCCGACGTGACCAGAGCTCATCGCTGCCTCGCACGCCGTACTGGCCCGGCGCTGCCGACGGGCCGAGACGCCGCGCCTTCAGCCCCGGCGCAGAGGACAACGTGTTCAGCCCCGTGACTCCGCACAGGCGCTCGGCGAGATGGAATCCCTACTAACGCCCTTGACCCGCTTCCCGACACCCTTGACCCGCGTCCTGACACTGGCAGACCTCGTCTTCTGACCTCTCTCGGACCTCCTTGCTGGTGCTTCGACGTAAAAGCCTTCGCTCACTTATTTCTATTAATGAGCATCCAGTAGGGTTATTTGTGTAAATTTCTTAGGGATTTTTTAAATTGTTATGGGATGTGTTTATTTGATGTACATCATTCATCAAACTGGCGGGTGAGTTGATTTCCAACGTTGTTTTTTTTTTATGTATGCTAGGTCTTACTCTGCTGAATGTGTAAATGTGTAAAAATGTAAACCGAGTTGGAATTCTTGGTAAATCTTTGAATAAATCTTGCCATATTTTACAGGAAGACCGTCTTCCTAATCTTGATTTATATTGGAGAAAAAGTGTTTGGCTGTAAGCTCAAGAAAATGCAATTTGCATATTAGCTTATGTTTTATTCTTATTTTTCTTTCTTTGTGTGTGTGTGTGTGTGTGTGTGTGTGCGTGCGTGCGTGCGTGCGTGCGTGCGTGCGTTTTTTCCGTAACATAGTATTCGGGCAAGCATATTTATTACATGATATTAGGCGTTAGTTCATGAAATGAGGAACAGGTAGGATCATTTGTAATATTGTGAATTCTTGCTATTTTGAGTATTTTAGAATCAAACGATTGTATAAATAGGGTCTGTATAAACGTATTACTTGTACTATATATTATGATTTAGAAGTGTACTTACGTGTTTTTTTCAAGTGCAGACGGCATCGAGTATATGTGGACAGCGGCCACTTACAAAAGATTGAGAACCGACCCAATGAATATTCACGCATGCGAACATGTATATAAACAAAAATGAATGTATCTGTCTCTCTATCGGATAGATAGACATTTATATATCTATATATCAGGTAGATATGCATATTTGTGTATATGCATGTCCGTATAGTGAAAATTTATTGGGTCGGGCCTCGCACAATTTTAACAACCCGGCCGAAAGACCGTACTCACGCACTACTGACATAATAAGCAAACCACCAGATTTTACGTAACTAATACGAATGCAATTTCTTTTGTTTTCCTTTCTTGTTTCAACCAATTCAAATATTATTTCGTCTGATTTATTACACAGTTGTTTCTACATTATTGTAAAATGAATACATTGTATATCAGTATAAACAGTATATTTATATAAAATGAAAGAAGTATTTGAAACAAATAGTCAGTGTTATAGGTACTAATACGTAAGTACCATATTGTCTTTATATTTTTGTCACAGCCTTGTATGCTAGATTGTAAAAAAGTATCAAGACATTGTGTTCCTTTTTTTACCTTTTTATATTGCGTGTGGAATGGGAATGCAGTCAAACAAGGGGAAAATTTGCTTCACAAATTTTAGTCTTCTAGACATAAACCGTTATAATAGAATACAATATCGGCACAAATACTGAAGAAAGATATTGGTCTTTTATTCACGTAAACAACTGAAAATAAGTGGTCACCAATACATGGAACGCACAGAGTGTTTTGTGCAATATCGATAAATTCATACAAATGGAATTTATTACCGAGAAAATGATGCATTATCACTTTTAATTATTAATTTATGTGAAAAGCTAGGTAATGTCTACCCCCCAATCCTTTGCCCGTTTTTGTCATGGGGGGGCTTAAGAGACGGAGGCTGAGACCCAATGCAGGGATCTCCCCTGTCTAGGGCCTCAGCCCTCGACTCGACTAATTTTGCATGGTCTTTTCCCCCTCCAGCTTTTGTTTCCATCCCTTCTCCATCCCCTTCTACTATCTACTTCCTAAGGTGTGAGAGCCGTGCTGAGAGGATGAAAGGCTGACCTTGTGCCAGTCCAGAACGGCCTGCGGGAACTATGGGCACGGTACTCCCGACTAATTTAGCCCTTTCACCTTTCACTAGCGATGGAGGTGGACCAGTTAATGCCTTTTATATAATCCAGGTTCCCCAGGACCAGTAATAAAAATATAATCCCTTTATTAGAGGCAATGAGGCTAGCCCCTTTATCAAATAGCCCCAACCCAGGCTCTCCTTTGACCACGGCTCCGAACACAAACTACTACCCACTCCTCAATGCCTACTAGTGCATTACCCACCCAAGCAGAGAATCAATCTCCAGATGACATTCCTACCTACCCAACTTCCTCAAATTCAACTCTACCCCGCAACCTTCATCAAACAACCAATCCTCCCTTATTACTACCTTGCACCTTATTCTCCATCATTCCGTAATACTCCCTCTTCCACACGTCCCCGACCATCCACCACCACCAACCCTACAGATATCTTAAATACTCTGTTTAGCCCAGCTAAATGGGACCGATTTTTCGTGATCCCTTCTACAGCTCCTTACTCAGGCAACACTTCTCTTTCAACAATGCCTCCAAAAACAAGTAGGCAGAGTCCCTTTCTATACCAGACGCGATCGCTCCCGTCTTGTAACAGTCAGATCAGAAACTGAATCTATAGCACTATCAAATTTAACTGATCATTCTGGCAACCCCATTCCTGCAGAACCTCATCCAACCCTTAATACCTGTACCGGAACTGTCTCTCTCTCCCCAGCAAACTGCCCAGTCGATACCAAAGATTGGTCAGACTGTGGAGAAGACTTATTAGGATGCCTCAAAGACCAAGATGTGAAATCAGTACATTGCTACACCATTCCTCCTAAAGGTCAACGAAAGAATCCGACCAATATTGCCAAAATTACCTTCGTACACATGACCTTCCCTTACGTATCTACATTGGTGGACAATCCCTCCCTGTTCGACCATACCAACCCCCTCCCGTCAATGTCAAAACTGTTGGCGCTTTGGACATCCTGCCAAACATTGCCGTTCCACAGACCGATGCCCCATATGTGCCCAACCTGGTCATAATCGATCAAACTGCTCAGCACAAACACGAACATGTGCTAACTGCGGCGGCCCCCATAATGTATTTTATAGAGGCTGTCCCACTTACAATTTGAATCTGAGGTAGCAACTCTCAGATACAAAAATGGTCTCACTTTACGTGAAGCCAGACAGGAAGCACGTCGACAAGGTTTCTCTCATACTCCATATTCTAGTAACATCGTTCGCTCAGCCCTTCCCCCTCCACCCAAAATGTCCCCATTTCCACTTCTACATTCTACATCCCTCAGACCAATTCCTTTGCCACTCTAAACCCAGACACCCCAATCTCAACCACAGCTCCAATCTCAACTACAGCCCCAACCACTTCTACATTCTACCTCCCTCAGACCAATTCTTTTGCCACTCTAAACCCAGACACCCCAATCTCAACCACAGCTCCAATCTCAACTACAGCCCCAACACCACCCCTCTCCCTCCCCGCACTACCCGCAGTAGACAGACTAAACGTTCTAACCCTTCTTCCCCTACAGCACAATCACCTCCACCTACCTTTACCTTTATTCCTGAGACACCAGTCTCCTCTTCCCCCCCTCATAAGAAAACCTTTATCCCACAAAACTCTCCAACTCCATTGCAGAAACAATTACCTTCTCACAAAACTCTCCAACCAATTCCACTGCAGAAACAATGGATGACATCCAAAGTTATATGCTTAAGACACAAGATCCCATAACTCATGCTCCTTCCACACTTGAAGTGGTTGCCGATATTCATACCCCTCCTACTAATATTCCCCCTACACCCCTTCCTCCTACTCCCTCTCAACACAACCTAACCCCCTCAATTCCGTCCACCTCCGATATCCATCCTCCCAATACCCATCCTCCTGATATCCATCCCCCTCTTACAGCACCACTACACCCCTTCCTCCTAATCCCTCCCAAGACAACACATCCCCTTCAACTCCAACTATCCATCCTTCCGATATCCATCCTCCTACCACTAATACTCCCCACACATCTACTCCTCCCAACACAACCCACCCCCTTCAACCCCAACTATAGGCACATTCTCCCTCCCTCCATCCCCTCTATCCTTTCCACTCCCTCCCGGATACACACAGGAATCACTCATGTCACAACAATGCCCTTCCCCAGATTCCCTACCTCCTAATACCCCTCCTTTACACCCCCTAGCTCCTTCCCCTTCAAATTCCCCAACACGTACTGTATACGTTATCACTCATAAATCAACTAAGATATAGCTCTCCTACATTGGAATATTCGCGGTTTCCGTTCTCATAGACCAGACCCAAGTCATATCCTTGCTTCATATAATCCATCTATTATCTGCCTCCAAGAGACTTTCTTCATACATCCTCCTATTCCAATTCCCAATTACCATTTTATCTCTTCCCCACACTCCCTTTATGTCTCGTCTATACTAATCCATCATAAAACACCTTATGTGATACCTCCCATACAAACTACTGTCCCGTGCAGTTATTCGCATCTTTCTTCGCCGCTGGATCACAGTGATTTCATTATACTTCTCCCGATCCCATCCCATTGACTTTGTTGCCTTTGAAACTCACATACCACACTCTGTGGGGTGACTACCACAAACTCCCGAGGCCGGTTTCTAGAACGCTTCCTCTTCACAAATAACCTAATTATTCTTAATTCAGATCGCACCACACACATTGTCATGCGCACGCAATCCTTTTCATGCCTCGACCTCTCTCTATGCTCTCCTACTCTTCATTCAGATTTCCATTGGTCAGTTCTAGACCACATCCCCTATATTGACCACTTCCCAGTACTCCTTTCTCCTACTTCATATATACCACTTCCCAGTACTCCTTTCTCCTACTCCATATATACCACTTCCTAATCCTCCACGCTGGTGCTTTGATAGAGCTGACTGGCGTACTTTCACTTCACTCTCTACTATACCTACCCCTCCATCCCCCTTACCGTCCATTTCAGATATGCTACAATGTTTTACAACCACGATCCTAAGAGCTGCCTATACAGCCATTCCTCGAACTTCAAGACCTTATACCTCTAAATGTGTTCCATGGTGGAATTCTGATTGCACCAAAGTGTTTCGCTTAAAACGAGCAGCCTGGAACGGCTATCGCTACAAACGAGGCACCCCTCACCAGCTATCAGCTCTTATTTCCTTTAAAAGAGCATCTGTCCATCTTCGCCGTACAATTAGAAACAGTAAAACAAATAGCTGGCAAAATTATGTTCATCAATTACATCTACATCTATTCAGCTGTTTTGGCGACGGATCCATAAATCATCAGGCATACATCCTCCTCATCCCGCACCCGTCCATATTCAAGATTCATATCTGAACCTGTCGAAGTAGCTAATGAACTGGGCAACTATTTTTAGCCAGGTCAGTAGTGACTCTTACCTTTCTCCACACTTTTCTTCCATTAAAGCCATCAAATTACGCATCCCTATTACCTTCACCCTATCCTCTGATGAGTCCTGTAATGCTCCTTTTTCTTCTGAACTCAACGCTGCATTGCAGTCGTGCCGCAACACCCATGAAGGCCCTGATGGTATTCACTATCGTATGCTCCGACACCTCCCATCTTTTCTATCCTTCCTTTTAACTATTTTCAACCACATATGGACGTCAGGAAATTTTCCTTCTCATTGGCGAGATGCTCTTATCCTACCTTTCTTAAAACCCAATAAATCAGGTACCCTACCAAGATTACCGCCCCATAGCTCTAACTAGCTGCTTGTGCAAACTACTAGAACGAATGGTTAACTTCCGCTTAATGTGGTACTTGAATCTCATAATCTCCTTTCCCCTTCCCAGTTTGGTTTCCGACGTGCCCGAAGTACAGCAGACCACTTGCCCATTTCGAGACATATATTACATCGGCATTTGCACGCCATGAATCCGTATTAGCCATATTCTTTGATCTAGAAAAAGCATATGATACCACATGGCGATACCATATCCTCCAACAATTGTCCTCCTTAGGTTTATGTGGAAACATGGGCGTTTTCATCAAATCCTTCCTTTCTAAACGTACCTTCCAGGTCAAAATTGCCTCTTCCACGTCATCATCCTTTCCTCAATTCGAAGGCGTCCCACAAGGAAGCGTGCTTAGTACCACTTTATTCCTTCTTACTGTAAATGCATCTGGCACATCATACCAGATCTCTGTCAATTCCTTCAGTCTGCAATAACATCAGTAACTTCTTGGGCCACCAACCATGGCTTTCGCTTCTCTACCTCTAAATCTTTCCCCATCCTTTTCTCTCGCTCACGTACGGTCCCCAAACCCCCACTCTTCTTATATAACGCTCCACTCCAATACCGTTCTTCTGGCAAATTCCTAGGCGTTATATTTGATTCCAAATTGTCCTGGCTATCTTGTACATCAAAGAAAAAGCT